TCCTTGAAGGTTAGTCCCCTTTCTCTGTTCTATTTCCCACATTGTCTCCTTTTCCCCTTACTCCCAGAGTTTTTGGATGCGTGTGTTTCGTTCATAATCTTGGGCCTGGAATGGACAAGTTAGATGCTAGATCCACTAAGTGTGTCTTTCTTAGCTATTCCAGGACTCAAAAAGGGTATAAGTGTTATAACCCTCGTTCTCGGCGTTCTTTTTGTGTGTTCTGATGTTACATTTTTTGAGCCTGTTTCTTTCTTCTCCAGGTCGGATACTTCTTATCCTCTGTTGCCATCACCCCCTCTTCCAGTTCCTGTTGAGGATCCCGTTCCTCTTGTTCCGGTCATGACCTAGTCTTTGCCTCCAGTGCAGCTACCTGAGAGAGGACCACCTATCCGGCATGTGTATACACATCGTTAGGCATCGGCTCCTCCCCTAGCTTCGTCACCGTCGACAGATCCGACAATTGATCCCACCCCAGCCCCAACTCCAAGTTCTGAACTTGATCTTCCTATTGCTTTGCGGAAAGGTAAACGCAGTTGCACTCTCCATCCCTAATTATGTTTCTGTATCTCACATTTTGGCTTCCCATCGACAGTTTGTTTCTATGTTATCCTCTGTCTCTGTTCCCAAGGATGTCCAAGCAGCCCTCAATTCTCCAAGGTGGCGCCAAGCAATGGAAGAAGAACTCTCGGCCCTGATTCGTACTCATACGTGGGACCTCACTACTCTTCCTCCTGGTAAGCATGTGGTCAGCTGTAAGTGGGTGTACACGGTTAAATACTTACCTGATGGAAGTGTTGAACAGTTGAAAGCTCGGTTAGTTGCCAAAGGTTATTCACAGTAGTATGGAATTGATTACACAGACACCTTCTCTTTGGTTGCCAAAATTGGGTCAGTTCGTGTTTTGATTTCTCCTGCTGCTATGTTTGATTGGCCCTTGTTTCAACTTGACATCAAGAATGCCTTTTTACATGGTGATCTTCTTGAGGAGGTGTACATGGAGCAACCACCAGGGTTTCTTGCTCATGGGGAGGGTGAGAAGGTCTGTAGACTTAAGAAGGTTATTTATGGACTTAAACAATCTCCCCGTGCATGGTTTGGGAGATTTAGTAAAGTGGTGAAGAAGTTTGGAATGAAACAATGTCTGGTTGACCATTCCATATTCAACTATGAATCAAATGCTAGGAAGATTCTCTTGGTGGTATATGTAGATGACATTGTTATCACAGGCAGTGACAGACCAAGAATTTACAGGTTGAAGACTTACTTGCATGATCACTTCCAGACAAAGGATCTTGGCAAATTAAGATACTTCCTAGGGATAGAGGTTGCAAGGTCCAAGAATGGTATTAATTTGTGCCAGAGGAAATATGTTCTTGATTTTCTAGAGGAAACAGGGTTGTTGGGTGCCAGACCAACTGAAACACCATGGAACTGAATGCTAGATTGGGTAGTGATACAGGTGAGGAGTTTGAGGATCCGGGAAGGTATAGAAGGCTGGTGGGTAAGCTTCATTACCTAACCATCACTCGACCTGATATCTCATTTGCGGTCAGTGTAGTGAGTCAATTTATGCAGAATTCAAGAATCCCACACTGGGAGGTTGTCCTAAGGATTGCGAGGTATTTGAAGGGTGCTCCAAGTCGTGGTTTGTTGTATAAGAGTGGAGGAAGTCTTGAGATAGAGGGATACACGGATGCTGATTGGGCCGGGTCCATATCTGACAGAAGGTCCACTACAGGGTATTGCACTTTTCTTGGTGGGAA